ACCCGCCCCAGTGCACGCTGAAGGTCCTGGTTTGATGGAGCCAACAGGACAACGTCATCTGCAAAAAGCAGAGACCTGTGGTCCCCAAACCGGACTCCCTCCAGCCCCTGGCTGCACCTAGAAATCCTGTCCATAAAAATAATGAACAGAACCGGTGACAAAGGGCAGCCCTGCCAGAGTCCAACATGCACCAGGAAAACGTCTGACTTACTGCCGGCAATGCGAACCAAGCTCCTGCCCTGGTCGTACAGGGACTGGACAGCCCTCAATTCAATTTTATTTGTATAGCACCAAATCACAACAAAAACATCTGTGGGCGCTTTATATTAGTAAGCTCTAGACATAATCACCATCATGATTATTATTATCATCAACATCATCATCACAGAGAAAAACCCAAAAAATCCCCCTTGAGCAAGCACTTCAACAGTGGGGACAGACCATTGCTCTTGGGGGGCGGCCTTCTGCCTTGGCCGGTTGGGGTCAGTGGACAGGGGAGAGAGAAAATTGAAGAAAAGCAATAAGACAACAAACAAAACAACAAACAATGAAACACTAAGCAGGTTGATAAATACTCCTATATGCACAAAGTGGTTTGGGGGAAAAAGGCAGCACATTTTTTAAAATAATATCTCTGTATATAGATTACAAAAACAATAGCATTTAGCTTAAAAGAGTATTTTAAACGCGTTTTACTGCTTGAATTGTTATTAAACTCGGTAAGCAGCTTTTACAGCGTCATGCTTTTATTTTGAAAAGGTGACCGTACCAGAGGCTCCGACTCTTCTACAGGCTGTGTTCCGGCAGAGAATCATTCTGGTTGTGTCGGTCAACCCGACACCTACGTAGCTTTTTAATGCAGTTGTACCGCAACAGAGAGAGTCGGGGGTCCTGAATATGTTGTTATTTCACATTTATAGTTTTACCTTCGAGTAATCCACGTTGCTGAGTCCTCCGCAGCAGTCCAGCAGCACAGGATGACTCTCTCCAGCAGGATTATTGACCCGCTCAGCGGCGGCGTCGCTGTCGCTGTCACTCATACACACTAGGTGAACTCTGGCCGGCGACCCACGCTCATCGGTTTGTGTGGGAGATAACAAATACTACGCAATATTTGTTTGAAGGTTCGGATTTTTTTTGTTGTTGTTAAACACGGCTGCACTTCCCGTGAAGAACCACACATGTGAAGATAACCTGTAACACTTCTCAGTGCATTCTGGGAAATGCAGTTCATAAATCACTGACACTGGTTGGGGCGGTATGACAGATAGGCCTATCTTTAATAGGCAATCTTTTTGGATCGGAATATAACTGCACATCTTTATTTTCTGGACCTGCTGCTACACTGAAAGCCTTAAGGATTTTTATTTCTTCCTGCATTGATTTTATTCATTGCAGTAGCGAATAGTCTCCTGCTTTAGAGTGATTCTAAAGGGGGTAGGTACTTTATTGATCCAACAGGAGACTATCCTGCCTTAGAGTGGCATCTGCTGGCTGAAAATGTGAAGGCTATTTAATTTAACATACATCGTTACGGTTATCAAATTTACTGGCATAAAATCAAAACAGCAACATTTCCATCACAGAAACTCTCGTAACCCTGTCTAGCTAAAATGACAGGTCTTTTAATTAATTCAATGTAGGTTACAGATGTTTCCTGTTAAAAACACATTTATAATTAGAAGTCCATTTATTTAATTCAGAGTATGTGGTTGGATGAGATTAAAAATAAAAAATAAATTTAACAAAAATCTCTGATCTTCCTGTCTTTTCTACATCTTGGTTTCTCGTCTGTTTTCTTTCCCCTTCTTTTCGCTTTCCTCCTAGATTCATTTTTCTTTGCTCTTCTTATTCAATTTTTCTCCTTCTCCATCTTTTCCACTCCTCTACTTTTTCCTCATTTTCTATTTTTCCCCCTTCCCTTCTCTGCTATTCTCATCATGCCTCATTGGATACACCCTGACACTCTTATATGACCATTCCTTGTTCCATTTGACTGAGTATCAAGGACAATCCAAATTTCATATCAGCTCTAAGGAGTGAAGACTGAGGAGCTAGGAGGCTGCTGGAGGAGATGAGTGAGGAAACACGAGACTGTTCTTTGCAGAAATCTTTTATGGACTGATGCCTTTTTATTGGAAACCGGTTTGTGATTGGATGCTTCAGATGGAAAGGATGTCTTATGTTAATAACAAGACTCAAAGAAAATGTAAGTGAGGGAAATGTTGGTGCTTACAAGAGACTTGGGATGTACACAGTGTTTGTTTAGAGTTAGTACCCAAGTCTCTTATGAGCACAGTCATTTCCTTCTCTTGCATATTTTCTGAGTCTTAGTCCCATACGATGAGAATAAAAAAAACAACAAACAGAAAACGTGAGGAGAGTGATAAAAATAAACCACTGGATTATCAGAACATCGTATCCACATATACACTGGGTACCACACTTTGATAGCTTGATTTGCATGATCAGAAAATCCAACCCACACAAACTGATTGGGTAGCACAGTTTCCAGAGGTCTAAAGAGTACTATTATTATAATTATTTTACTCAAGTAAAACTGTTGACACTATAGTGAAACTGTTCTCAAGCACAAGTCTAAAAATCTACTCAAGTAAAAGTAAAAAGTAATTTTTTTTATGTTATTCTATTTAGCCCTTAATGTAACCAGGAAGTCCCACTGAGATTGTGAACGTCTTATGCAAGGGAGGCCTGGCCAAAAATGGTGGGTCTTGCAATCGTAAATAATTAAATATAACAAAACCATATTATAGCTTTACAACCACATAAAAAGACAGTCACTACAATGTGTTTAAAATGCCCCATAAGTTCAGAAATTACAGGGATGTGTGGCAAATGAGACAGATGTCAAAGACTTTACCTTGGTCTTAAATTTGGTTAATGATACCAATTTGTCTATTTGAACTTTCTTTTGGAAATAGTTCCAAGTATTTGGAGCAGAAAAAGTAAAGGTCTTCTTTCCCATCTATGTCCTAGCATACAGTCACATGCTATTATGCATCCTGTGATCTTAAATTGTAGTTTGACAAAGAATTATGAACAATTCATTTACAAAGATGCAAAAGTAACTTGCCAGGAATGGCTTTATAAATAAAAATGTGCCAGTGACCTACCCAGCTAATGGCCAGAGGAGGCCATCATACTTTAGAATACAAAGTACAATGGTGAGTTAGTGGTTTTGAATTTTGGCAAACCTTAAAGCTCTAGGAGAAACAGTATGTTAATGCCACATTCATATATAATAAATCACTATAGTCAAGAACAGGCAGGACTGTTTTTTTCTGTCTACCAATGAGAAACAAGAGATGTCTAAAATAAAATCCCAACTTTAATCTTAATTGCTTCACCAGATTTTCTCTCACTTACACTTACACTTCATGCTATTTTCCTCCACTCCACAGTTGTCCTCTGTCCTTCTTTCATTGCCCTGCATCCTTTGTTTTTCTATTCTTTTCATCATGTTTCCATTTTTTTCTCTACTTTTACTGCCCCACCACCCAGTTTGTTTAGAATCGATTAGTTAAGTAGCAGATGCCCCGTGTGAAGGGAGAAACAGAGAGAGCGTTTAGAGCCTTGCAGCTGCCTAACAGATCATACTATCTGTTCATCAGCCTGTAAGGTGTCGGAGCAGAGAACTTTATCATGTAAAATAAAACCAGCACAACATCCAGCCAGCAGGTGAAGATAATGGCCGCCTGCCTTAATTCCTTTTTAGTGCTTTAGCTGTACTTTTTTTCTGTCTTGCTTTCTCCTGCGGCTTAAGCTCCTGATACTCTAAAATGTAAACAACATAGAGAATATGAATTAAAAAAACATTTAAAGCAAAACTAACAATGAAAAGTGGAGTTCTAGCCCTTGCATAATCATAATCATAATCCTTTTTGTTGCCTATGAGTCACTCAGTCTCTCTATATATAAATTTGTGTTTGTACAGTATATATGTGTGTGTGTAAGCATTACTAACTCAGAAACATTTATTTAGTGCATTCTGGGTGAATAAAAGAAGGTAAAACATTTAAGACATTAAAATTGGTGGGTTTGGAAATGAACAGAAAATGTCACCATCCACTCATGTCTTTGTGGTGAGCGTGCAGCTAGCGTCAGCAGCCTGTTAGCCTAACTTAACATTAAGACTAAAAACGGGGAAACCCCTAGTTGGATATCGTGTGCTAGTTGATGAATTTTGTTGACTTTGTCTGAACCAGGCTGTTTCCTCACTCACACTCTCTATATCCAAGTGCTTACAAAGCAAAGCATTTTCTTTGCATGCAGAAACATTGCCTCTGAATTTTGGGAAAATAAATCAGTATATAAACATATTTTCTAGCAGTTAGGTTTGGAACACATGCCATTGTCAAGTGCTGTTACTGGCCAAGTTCCTATTTATAGACTTTAAAGGCCAGGTAAAGCTAAATCAGTGATTTGTTCCTAAACACATCATCAGTGTCAGAAAATGTGTTAAAAGACTGAGAACTATGTAGTGCTGAATTGTGGAGTTAGGCCGGTTTTTTTAGTTCAGGAATTTTGGGCAGGGCAGAAAGCAAGGCTCGGTGACACACTGGAGCCATCCTTAACATAATCTTTACACTAACATTTCAAATCCTACAGCATACAGGGCTCTATGTCTGCATTTAAAACTTGGCTTTAGGGTTCACCTTAGAATTAGGGTTAGGGTTAGCCATTTAGTCCCGATGGTTAAGGTTTAGGGTAAGGGGCTAGGGATTGCATTATGTCAGTGTCCTCACAAAGATATAATTACAAGTGCTTGTAGGAGCTGAGCACCACCTGCACCAACGCAAAGGACCACTCACTCAGTGGTCTCTGATAAATGCTCCTGTAGAGCCCTGTAACGCATTAGCAGCATTTCTCCTGTTTGACCGTGAGCTACTACACCTACTACAGCCTACAGTTTACTAGCTACGCCTTCGCCCCACAAATGCATCTCTCATACATGTTTTCCCTAAAGATATCCATGATGAGAATAGGTGGTATGTTTCTGTGATTTGCCTTGGTTTCACTGTCCTCACCTGACATGCCCCCAGCGTTTCAGAGAAGAGAATTCTCCTTATTTTTTCATGATTTTGAAAGCAAATTTTATATACTTGGCAATCTTTTTTGGCTGGGTGGTTAATAACATGCATTTATTTCTACTTTACACTAACTTTAAAACATCAAAACAAGCAATGACAGAAGCTGAATCTCCTACAGCTACACAGTAGTGTTCTGCAGCTGCTGATCAATGGCTTTGGTTCCAGCAAAATGACACAACCCCATGTGGTGAAAAAGTTGGATCTGGTTCAACTTTTGCCACACCAGACAGTGACATTCCAACAAAGGCTAACCAAAATACAACGGAAGCTCATGGACTGGAAATGTGAATGAAGCCACTTAAGTGGACTCGTCCCAATGTCTACATGCCTAACAATCCCCCTGCAACCCCTCAACCCACTGACAATGCAGCCCCTTGCATTAAAACACAGTAGGGAGTTGCATTTTTGCTGGATCAATGCAAAGGTAGGCCTATTCACAAAATCAAATGTTTGTAAGACCTGTCAGTTATGGACAGTATTTGTTCCATTTGCAGGACACACAAGCATTACCACATACGGTTAAACATTCACAAGCTGTGTTTACTTTTCCGTGGATTAGACAGAGAGCCCGTGTGTGGTATTGTCATTTACACAACTGAGTGCACATACACACACACACACACACACACACAGTGTATCATCACAGAACTGTGCACATGTATTTCTGATAGAGAAGAAGGACTGTGACCCTCGGTACAAGTACTACAGTAGATGGAACTAAAAGAAAAAGCAGCAGAAGAAGACTGAGGTTGATGTCTCATGTATACTTGGCTGAAAAACATGCTACTACTCTACTAGAAAGCTAATCTCATCCAACCACATACTGTAAATATCTTTTATTTGCAACACATCTGATGATTTCACATTACAGTGGGAGTTCACAAATCATGACAACTATGAGATAGATGCATGCTTTGTAACAAATCGTCACCACTGCGGCAGCTTTATCATCAAAACGAAGCTTAGGCGAAGGTTCAGTAAAGAAGATCTCTTCCCTCACATTCTGCTTGAGGGTTGATGTGGGCTGTTTATTTCGGATCAATTTCTCTCTATCAGGTTTCCCACACTGTCAAATCATCCCTTTACCTTCTATCCTGACGTCACCGTATCCGACGAGTGATTTTTCTGCCCAGGTGTCGTTCTTAAATATCGTTGCAATTCTGCCCGTGTGTATTTCAGGCCTATGACTGGTCAACCTACCTTCTCCCCATGATGCCCAGTGTCACAGTCCAAGGCCTCCCCTAAATACCTGTCACCTGCTCCACACCACCACCAGGGTCTAGATTCAAGGGGGAGCCAGTCTATTTCCTGTCTTCATGTGGGCCTATGCCTAAAGAAGATGCTCCACATCACAGGAGTCTAGTCGTCAAAATATCTCTGTGTTGTTCACCTTAATGAATTTTTCTATTCACTTTCATTTGATCTTTCCTTATTGAATCAGCTCATCCAGGAAATGTACAAAGGAGCAACACTTTGTTTTGGACTCAAACAATGTAGCACTACACAGGAGCCTTTTTGACCAGATCCATGGGATACTTGATCCCCTAATGGTACAATAGATGTTCTAAACATCTTCAGTCTGAATTAAAACTCATTGGAATACCCTTAAGTTATCTGTTTTCTATCAGTAATCTATCTGTACCAGTGTATGTCTTAATGGCAAACGCTGAAAATGGAAAAGCTGGTATGCAAAAACAATGCATTTCAGTGGAATAGCTGCAATCTGTGGAAACACTAATTAGTGCACAAATTTATGCATTTGGCGAAGACAGAAACCATCTGGAGAGTCCAAAGTGGAGAAAGCTACTGTATGATGTTAGTGCTGCTGCCCCATTTAGTAGAAAAAAAAAAAATCAACTATCACAATGCCCTCTATTTATGGGTTTCTCAGGCTTTATTGTCCAGGCTTCATTCAGTTAGTACCAAATGCTGCTGCTCGTCTTCTTACGGCCACTTGTAAACATGTAAGACCTGTTTTGTCTTCATTTCATTGGCTCCCTGTTCAGCAAAGGATTATTTTTAAATTACTGTTGTTTTTAATACCTTGCACCTCTATATTTCAGAGCTTCAGCAAATTTACACCCACAGTAGATCGCTTAGGTCATCCAATCAGTCTTTACTTGATGTACCTAGATCCAGTTTAAAGCACTGGGGTGACAGAACCTTTGCTAGACTCTGGAACAGTCTACCTTTTAAAATTAGAGCTGCCTCTGACTTGGCTTCCTCTCATGTTCTCCTCAAATCATGTTTATTCACACAGGCATTTGATAATGGTGTAGTTCGAGGCTTTCTGATTAGTTTTTGTATTTTATTTGTTTTTATTATGTTTTCATGTATAGTTAAGTTGTTTGTTGGTTTTATGTCTATTTTAATTCTTTTAACATTTTTTACCCTTCATGTAGCACCTTGTAACCGTTGTTTTGAAATGTGCTTTGCTTTGCTTTAAATCTTTCTATGTAGTCAGTGTTGTGGAGCTGCAGGATGTAATTTAACTATATCTCCCAGTAGTGGATCAGTAATGTAGCTAATTTCAAAATTATGTACCATTTCAAGAAACAAACATTTATTCCCACTAAGTACAATTTATTCTGTTGAACAAAAAATCTGTTGTGTATTTTGTTGCTCAGTCACCTGCTGCTCCCAGTCTCCTGATTAGGGAACAAATAAGCAGGGCTGGTACTGAACTGCTGACTATTGGCATGGGAGTTGTCAAGTGCTGGTCCACCTCACCCTGTGTACCGTTCTGTCTCAGTGCTGCTGCAGGTGCACAGAGATGCAAAGTATACTATTTAAAGAGCCAACCAACTCAATGCACATATTCTCTTTAACTTACTGAAGGAGCTCATGTTTTACTTATAAAACACACCCTTAAACATGACCTAAAGTATTTTTTTAAATACATTTTAATGTGCTGCTTATGCTACGTCTTCTGTGCAGACACAGTGTAAACTTGTCACGCAGTGTGGTAAAATAAAAATATTTTTCATTTCCTTTTATGGCCCAAAATTGTTTGTAGCTTCAGTAATTAACTACACACAAAATAGCAAAAACATAATTTAACTACTTGAATTACCATGCAAAAATGAATGTAGCTGAACTAGCAAGCTACTGCAAAATGGATTAACTCAGATTTAGCATTAATTTGGATAAATCAAATTAAAAAACTATGTAAAAATGGTCTCCCTGCTGTCCTAAACCCCCACCACCCCAGGCTGCTATCTTCAGGCTTTGTGTTTATTTCCATCCCTCTCTGTTCACTGCTGCTGAAATCCACATGCCCACACGGATCCTTGGTTATAAGCAAGCTAATGTTAGCATTTCAATTTTGTGCCTTTGTATTGAATCATTCTGGTTGTAATTTGTAATCATTCCAACTGATTGCAGTGTTGATGTTTTGTTGTCCAATCAGCAAAAACCAGAGTGTTTTCCTGGACTAGCAAATGAAGTAATGTTGCATATTTTTGCTCAGGTTTGGTCCAGTATATGTCAGACATAGCACTGCAGTCCATGTAGTATTTTAGTGAGTTGTTAAAATTCATCAACACAACTAGAAAAGTGCCAGGTTTGTTCAACTATCAAAAGCATAACATGAAATTTCTCTTGCTTCACATACAACTCATGGTTGTGTGTGTCATGTATGTAGTGCTGAATGTGATGTGATAGTGGCTGGAACATTAGCACAGTATCAGTATTACTGGGAAAAAACATCCCTCTGTATAATCTGCTAATGTTGTGTGCAACATTAGACATACGTAAGCATATCACTAAAATGTAAACCTCATAATCTCACATTATTTCGCTGCAATGCCACCAAAACCCTTCAATGAAAGTGGTGTATTGTTTGCAAAGCTGATGCATAACGCTCACCACCACCAAAATGTTTTAGCTTCATGAGGCCAGTTCCTCTTCATAAGCATTATAAAATGTATTAAAACACAAACCCACAGAACACACATACACACATGAACATGGCGCAGGCAACAACACTGTCTCTCAAAACAGCAGCTGGCGACATCATTTCCTCCAGCTTGCTCGGCTGTTTACAGAGCAGGCGGAGCCAGACAGAAAAACAACCAGCAGAAGGCTCTGCATTTGCTTTCCCACAATCCCACTGTCTCCAGTGAAAGCACTGAGTCATCAGAGACAGATAACAAATAAGTGATGTTTTCAAAAACATGAGAGACAGAAAAATGAATAATTGGTCACACAAACACACACACACATTCACCATTCACAGCCAATATGACTTTTTTCTCATTTCAGACAGAACCTTTTAAACTGCCTTTAAAAAACAACTTCAGATTGAATTTACTTGATTTAATCTAAGGAAACTTTCAGTTTACCCTCTATCAAATATATGAATCATTTTAACGGTAGCTCTGAGGAATTGTTGTGTATTGGTAAAAGCTTGTGGTCATGGTCCACCTGATTCCATGTTGCCTGTCATAGAGCTCATTTTCCTCAATAATCCAAAAGCCTGAAATATCCTATTGTCTTTTTCTTGAGGGAACCAGTGTGATGCTAACTTGGCCTACAAAAATACGTCATCCCTCTATGTATAAGCCCTCCTGTAGCTTTTTGATGGGAATGACTGGACCTCAGTTTGTCCACATAACACAGTGAATGTGATACTTTGATTGGATAAGACAGTGAATTCACATTAAACTGCTTTAATTGCTGTTTAGACTAATTCACAATGCAGATGAAGTGGAAAGAAAAATGAGTGTGGGATGCGTTTTCAAGGAGGAGGTGTTAGGTTCAGTGTGCACTTTTGGTCAGTTCATTTATTCAGTATGTGTGTGCATCTAGAACTTAAGTACATTGTCCTCACCTGCACCTGCTTCTCAGCCTGTCATACTGCAGACAGTCAACAAGTTCATGTAATTCAAGACACCCTCAAAGAACAAAGCTGCTGCCAGTGCCAGCAGAGAACGGGAGAATGTTCAGACGGTGTTAATGTACTCTTGCTCTTTGGCCTGAACAAAAGACGAACAAGTTGTTCTTCACTCTGGGTATGGAAAATGAACTTTTATTTTTAAATGTGTCACTAGCTCTGTAACATAGTAGCTACTTGCCCACAGATGACTCCCTCCCTTTCACTCGAGACATACTGGGATCCCGAGTAGGAAATGAATGAATTAATACTGAGGAGCTACTTGCCCACAGATGACTCCCTCACTTTCACCCTAGACATGCTGGGATCCCAAGTAGGAAATGAATGAATTAATACTGAGGAACACTGACCATAAGTCCTTATTTCTGCACCCAGAGCAGCTTCGCCTGCAAAAGACAAAACAACTGTTCAGTGTTTCCAATCTGACAGGAGGAATCTGTGTAGTAAATAGAGCCATTCCTTGCATTCATTTAGCTACTGAACCATATTTAGCAACATAAATCTATTTACTAGCTACTTATCTATCCATCTACCCAGCTACCAATGACCCAATTCATCCACCCACCAATCCATTCATTCTCTTCACCTCTCCATCCTTTTATCTGCAGTAGTCCCACTGCGCAGTGCATTAATGAGCTTTGGCTTGTTGAGCTGCTCTTTGCTGGTTCATTTCACAGTGTCAGACTACTGTACCAGTGCAATAGATCCCAATAAGGATAAATCAGATAATGCAGCACAGGAAATTGATAAGCATTGCAAACTGAATAGAGGAAACAGTGCAGGCGATCCTCTTGTTTACATCTTGGGCCGCCCTGCTACAGCTGTCATCAAGCTCGACTGAATCAGTAGCAATGATGTGTAATCCTAAAACTCGTCACTGTTTGGTACAGTACACCTCATTCACTGTTCTCTTACAACTGTGCGCTGTCAAATTAACCGTAATTTACACCAAATCAGGTTATGCAAAGAACAACCTGATCCCCACATAATGAGACTTACAGTAATATGTACCTACAAGATGAACTGATAGTCTATGTGTGTCCAGGAGTTTAGTTTTTTTTTTAAATAAGTAATCCAGTAGGTAGGGCATCACTGGGATAAATAAATCAGACATAATTCTTGCAAGGGATGTTGTTGTTTTAGTACAGGAGGTGATTGCACATGCCCCTCAGTTGTCCTCCTTCCTGTTGGCAAGTAAACAAACAGAGAAAGCCTTATTAGATTTAAGTAGCTACCTGCTGCTGTAGTGATGCAGTGAAGGCTAAATGTGGTTCTTTGATGAGCATTTAACCTGTCCTACCTGAAACGTCTTCCCATAAAAGCTGAAAAAATAGCAAATACACATTGACGTGTGAATAGGAGCAATAAATCTAAAAAATGCAATTAAACGACAACAACAACATAATTACTTGCTTAAAAATTACATTAAAACATTATGAAAAAACAACAGCAAAACAAAACAAAAAATTTTAAATACATACAAGAACAATAATCAATACAGACAGTTCAGGATGGTCCAACTCTCCCTGTGCATATGTCAGCCTGTGTAGCCACTGTTTATGCATAAGCAATAGATAAATACAGGACAAATGAATGAATGGTTTTCAAGTGGAAAAGCAAAAATTAAAAACCATTAAAAGGAAAATAACAGATTTTTTTTCTCATTTTATTTAATTTTGATTAATTATGGGCAGCATGGTGGGGCATGGTTGGCGCTGTCGCTGCACAGCAAGAAGGTTCTGGGTTCGACCGACCCGGGGCCTTTCTGTGCGGACTTTGCATCCAGCGACCCTCTTCAGGATAAGCGGTACAGATAATGGATGCCATCATTTGTTTTTGTTACATAGTGCAGAACTTTACACAATGTTACTGCTAACTTTGTTAATAGTGGAAAGTATCCAAGTACAATTACTCAAGCATTTAAGTACAGTTTTGAAGTACGTTCTTCACTTTAGTGTTTCCATTTTCTTACATTTTTACTCCTCTACAGTTCAGAGGGAACATTGCACTTTTTACTGTACTAGTTACATTTATTTAATGAGATACTGGTTATTTTGCAGATCCATATTAATAATACTAGATAATATCACAAACTACCCAGCAGTATATTAAGTAAAATGAGCCCCAGCTTTACTATTATATTATATTATTACACATTAATCCATTGTAATTCAAAATATAGCATGTATTTTTCTGAAATGGGTCCTAAGTGCTTTTCTTTTGGTACTCTAAATACATTTTTCTGCTAACACTTACCTAGGTTTTGAATTCATGCACCTGCTACTATTTGTAATAGAGCATTTCAGCATTTGTGAATTGCTATTTTTACAAGCTTACTTTTTCCACCACTAGATCTGGTTCTTCTGAAACACAGACCATTATTCTTCCCTCGCTTTTCAAAGGTCCTCAGCTAATTCCCCGGGTAATTTCATCTCTTTCTCCCTCTGCTTTCTTCCACCCCTCCATCCATCTTTCCCTCGATAAACTCGCTCCTATCCCATAATCATGTCCACTCCCTCCCACACCTCCCTGCCATTACAGCATAAATGAGGCAAACTGCGATTGAACAAAGAGTTGCCTTGTCGCTGTGGATCGATACATCTGATTGCTGCCACATGATTGTAGAAGCAGATAGGCAAGAAATGACAAAGAGAGGACTTCTGCACACAAGCAGGCTCAGCGGGGGTCACTGACTGCTGCACATAGAAAAATAAATGTCTGCATGCGTCAGTCACAGGCTAACGCTGAAATGGCCATCTCAATTAAAATGAAGTGAAAGTCTTCTACATACCGTTATTTAACAACACACGATTTTGGAGTCCAAGTATTAACAAAACATGACACCAGAAAGACTTGTCATTTAAGCAGATAGTCCCACATTGAATATATTAAGGGTGTCACTTGTTAAAGTTACCCACCATCAAATACCTTCTCTCGATAGACTGAAAGCCAGAGAAGACTCTTCAACTTCCTAATCTTTTCCTGCATAGTCACCAGGAAATGTGCGTCATCTCTCTGTGGGAAGCTGTCTTCAGTCCACCCAGGGAAGCTTTTTCTAATTTGATCATAGTAATTTTATGAATCTGTCATCAAGAGACCTCTCTAGCAATGATGTATACTGGTTGCAAAGTGGCCTTTAATTTCAGCTGCCAGTCTGAGAGTGAGTCACAGCGAGCACAAGGCAGCAGCGTTCAGTCAGGTGGCCGGTCAGCCTTTGGTGGCACAGGCTTTACACGTCCTCTCTCTCTGTCTGTCAAACAAAAACACATAACAAAATAAATAAAAAATATGCACTTCCATTGTTTATTGTTGCATCATGTCCTTCCCTTTCTCACTCACCAACTTTTTTTTACTCAATCACTCATGTTGCTCTTTTTCACCCACACAATCCTGCAATCACATGACTTTTAAACTAATTTACTTAGTCATAGCTCACTCACTCACCAAATGTTTTCACTGGCACAAATATTCAGTCACTCACTCAGGTATTCACTTGTTCATGTATACACGTACTTATTAAGTCCCTCTTTCACACACTTATTTACTCATTCACTTACTTAAACACCATCTCCCATTCAGTGACTTCATCAAAGCATGTCTCTTCCTCCTGCTACCCCCCTCCCTTACTTTTTCTAGGACACATTACAAAATGAATTTGTTGCCTTCTGTGGGGCTGAAAGTGAACTGGGCATATAACAACACACATACCTTCTTCTCTGGTCCTGGATCTCAAAAGACACTGTGAAACTCACACTTTGCCCCAAGTATGCAAAGATATTACGCAAACCATTTGAAATGCAGCTACTGTACAGTACAGATCCTCAAAGTAAAATTAGTTTATAAACATATGACTGCTGAAGGCACAGCGTGCATCGTATTTACCTACGTCAGCTGTGGTTTTGTGAATTTGTGTGTGTGCAGAGGAGCAGCACATGTTTCATTTAACTGAGAGGCTACATTTCTGCACTGCAGAGGAATCATATAGAGCTGCTGCTGTGTTGGTAGACAGTGTGGGACTGTTACAAATAGAATGGAGCATATCACTACAGTGTAATTAGACAGGAAAACAAACAGCAAAATGCATACTGTGTGTTACTGTACATGAACATTGCCAATTAAACCTCTTCATGTATCACTGTGTATGTCTGCATTTATTAATCCATAAATTAAAATACTCTTCATGTATCACTGTGCATGTGTGCATTTATTAATCCATAAATTAAAATATTGTGAGTACATACTGTATGTGTTTTTGGAGTATACTAATGGGCAGTGGAGAAACAGATAATCCTACAAGAGTGTTTGAAGCAAGCTGATGAATATTTGGGTACTTTTGTCTTAGTTTAAACATGGCCACCTTTATGTGAAACCAGACTGGCATCTTCTGTAAAAGAAGAAGCAACTTTTCTGAGCCACCTTCAAAGTCTAAAGGGGTCAAATGTTTCTCAAAACTTCCATTTTCAGTGGAGTATTGCTTTAAAGTCATGCCTTGCCAGAATCTGTGGTTACTGTGGTAACGGCAAAAGAGTGGGTTGATGCAGCAAACACTCCTTTAGCAATTCATCTCCAATATGCATGGATGGATTACTGAACAGGCACTAGCTTAAGTGGCAGAGCACCCACCAGGTGATCAAGTCTGAGTGAATAAGGGCATAACAATCTCAGGCATAATGAAAATACAAGGTTTAAGAGAGCCAAGAGAATAGTTTTACAGAACCTGACATGGCACATCATCCATTATGTTTTGATTACTTAAAAGATGTCAGAATCTCTCGGCGAAGACAGGCATTACTGTTCAGCAGACCTTAAAGAATCACTGGATGACACTCTTGCCATCACTGTTTGAGTTCCTGTTGAATAACATAAAGTGAATCACAGTGCTGCAAGGAATGCCCACAGGTGAATGGTTCATGTGTGATGCTTAATGATAAAGCACTCTGAAACATTCATTGCAAAGTTTTGAAAGTACTCTCAGCAAGGCTCTCGATGTAAAACTTCACTTTTATACAACATTTCCTGGAATGTAAATCCTGCATAGAATAAAGTAAATCTTATATTAAAATTTATTTTTGTTTTATATATTGTACATGTAAATATCCCTGCCTGGGGGGAAGCTGGCCATGTGGACAGCCCTAGCCCGTCTCGTAGCCCTGTTTAACAGCACATCGACACAGAAACAGTTAGAACTGCATTGTTCATTCATCCATCACTCATCTGTCAGATGGGAGAGCAACAGCATGCTCTTATTTTAAATCAATCCAGCTGCTACATTGTGTTGTTTTTCACTTGCACTATAAAGTATGAATTAATTTGATGCAGATTTTGATGCTTCAGGCCTAATTTCTTCTCAGTTACTGTTGTGGGTGTATTTTTTGTGCATATTTGTATGTTTGGACATGCATTTTGTGTGTGAGTGGGTGAGTGTGGGGGTGGGGAGGAATAATATTGTGTGCGTGGGTCTGTGTTCACATGTATCTCATGGCAACAGCCAGACTATGACTCAGTCTGAGGTCTGCATTTTGACATTTGAAGATCCAGAATCAGCAGTGCTCTTTTTGCGCTACACTTTTTTTTTTTATTTCCCTGCTGACTTTATCTGACTGTATTGGTTGTAGTTAATCCTGCAGACACTCAGGAAAGCATGTTAATTAGCCTGGCTATTCATTCACTGGCCTGACCTATCATTCATTCACACTTTTCTTTATCCTGTGAGGAACCTTGGAGTCCTTTTTGACCAGGCTATGTCCTTTAAATCACACATAAACCAAGTCTCTAGATCTGCCTTCTTTCACCTGCGCAATATTGCAAAAATCAGGAGCATCCTGTCTCAAAGTGATGCTGAAAAACTGGTCCATGCATTTGTTACTTCCAGGCTGGACTACTGTAACTCTTTACTATCAGGATGTCCCAATAATCCCCTAAAAAGCCTCCAGTTAATCCAAAAGGCTGCTTATCATCCTAACAGAGCACTTCGCTCTCAGAGTGCAGGTTTACTTGTGGTTCCTAGAGTCCACAGAAGTAGAATGGGAGGCAGAGCCTTTAGCTATCAAGCTCCTCTCCTATGGAACCAACTCCCAGTCTCACTTCAGGAGGGGGACACCCTCTATACCTTTATGATTAGACTTTATGATAAAGCTTATAGTTAGGGCTGGATCAGGTGACCCTGAGCCTTCCCTTAGTTATGCTGCTATAGGCCTAGGCTGCTGGGGGGCCCCATGATGCTCTGAGTTCCTCTCCTCTCCTCTCCTCTCCTCTCCTCTCCTCGCATCTATATGCCACCATTACACATCACTAACTTTGTGTCTCCTCTCTCCCGTAGTGTGTCCTCTCTCTTTCTTTTTTTATTCTGACCCTCTCATATATGTAGCTGGGGAGAACAAAAAATATAGAGGCACCTCTGAATATAATGGGGTTCAGTACAATACCATTTTTAACTATGACCTCAAAAATCAACATATAGAAAGTCACTTTCGGCTTTTCCCGACTAGGGGTCACCACAGAAAATCGTCACACTGACGACTCGCATGTTGACATTTGGCACATGTTTTACGCCGGATGCCCTTCCTGATGCAACCCTGATTCAAACCCAGGCCACAGCGGTGAGAGCGCTGTGCCTTAACCACTAGCTTACCAGGGACCTCAAATATCAACATATAATTGAATTTATACATTTATGACAATTTCACCAAAAACTGAAACATACTGGGCTTCAAAAACACAGATGTTAAGGACGAAGTGTTGCATTGAAGTGCGTACAGTTGTACAGGTGTACCTAATAAAGTGGCTGATCAGTGTCTAGGTGCAGTGTATTTCCAACCGTTGGTAAAACACAGTAAATAGAAACTTCATGCACTTCAAAAAGGACTGTGTATTCACACTTGCACTTCATTTTTAGTTGGAGGTTTGTAAAAAAAAAACAGGAAAATATAAAACTTTAATGCCTTGATTTATTTTTATTTATTTTTTTTTTTCATTAAAGACAAATCTTTAAAATGTCTGTGTATGCTGTCAATTACAGTTCTTAGAAAGTAAATCGGAATCAGCCAAAATCGGAACTGACAGGTCAGACTTAGAGGTTAGACTTAAAAAAAAAAAAATCTGAAATCAAAATCCACCATGAATACTGAAACTGGTGCGTCACTGATTTTCACCTTACACTTCACTTCACTGCATTTGCTTCTGAAGGAGAACAGTCTACAGTATATTCATACACCCACTAGAAGTGTGGAAAAGTAAACATGAGCAATGTTGCTCTTATTTTCCAGGTGAGAACAGTTGTATCAGATGTCCAATTTCATCTGAAGAACTTCTGGGTTGATAGCAGAATACCATGTTACAGAGCTTGAGTGAAGAGCTACTACACACACACACACACACACACACACAAACTGTATAAGTAAGGAGACACTTAACAAGCAGACAAACATTATGCTACACCATTTTGGAAGGCAGGTGGACGTGATGTTCTCTGGCTCTGCATCAGAGAGAGAGAACAGCATGTAGTGGGACTTAGGATCCTGCTCATAAAGCAGTACCTTCTTCTGTTTCCATTACGATACCACGTGTCCACAATCCCCAGAGTCAGTCTGGACTGACTGAACCAGGACATGGGGAACTAAGCCTGTGGAGCCGTTGGATAGTCAGGCAAGTTCAAATCAATTCATGTGTCATGTAGCCAAGGAAAAGCTGAGCAGTGGTATCAAGTGTAACACAGGCAACTTCAGATGTCCTCACCCATGTTGTAAGATTACGATCAAGAATTTGTCTAAACTTATTCTGAACCTTGTTTACATTAACACGATTAGCTATGATCAGTTGATCATGAAGCTGGTTAGAAAAGCATTACTGATGATTTGCTTGCACAGATGCACGCATTTAGTCATCATATGAATTGTTAATAGCTCGTGCTCACATTTAGTCTTCATCTTTAATGAGGCCAGACTTAGCTGCTTTAGCAGTATAGACCCCGTTGCCATGGAAGTGGTGGCCATAGCAATGACTCTGCTGAGGACAGTGATGTGGTGTTGTTTGATCAGAGATTGCTACAGGCAGTACAATATGTGTAGCTTCTTCACTGCAATCCAGTGACTGTATGAGAGTGCTACAAAATACAGAGTGAAATTAAAACACAAATGAAAACACAGCACATTTACAAGAATTATGCTAAGATTTTGCTATCTTTATCTCTAAGTTTGAATGTGTCCTCATTCTGACCACTGAGCTCTGTGAAGAAATTCTTTGAAGGAAGGC